TCCATCGTAAGTCTTTTTTTCTTTCTCATTCACTGATTGTTACTTAAACACTCCCCTTTGGAGTTCTGATAAAGCAGCATTGTAGTTTCAAACCGGGGCGAGGAAGCGTCTATTCAGCGAGGGCCTCGCTCTTGCTGCAGAGGCTCTGCGGGGCCTGCTGGGCTCTGTCCTCGCATAAAGACCCACGAAGGGGCGGCCACCATGAGAGCCCTGAAGGGGAATGCAGCCCCAAGAACAGTGCAGCTCTGGTCCCTTGAGCTGAATTCACCTCGGTGCTGCCTTGAGGTACTTTTTTCTCTGCTCAGACTACCACTGGGGTGAAGGAGTACACTGTGAATGAGGGCTCCTCTGTCTTCCAGTCGCTGATGTGCATGTGGACCAGGCTTCAGTGTTTGTCCATAGGTTTCCTCTTCCTAAAATTCATCATTTGTCAGCCACCACCCCTCACCCACCCGGCGTGATCATTGTGACGATGCCCTAGGCTTCAGCCAGCGGCACGGCATCTAACAGTCATTCTTGTCGTGAGATGTTTTTAAGCCATAAAATAGATTTAAAGCCTTATTTTATATTTTACAAGGGAAACTCGGTCATGGACTTAGATCACATCTTTGATACCAAACTGATGGTGATGGGACACATCCTCCTACCTAAGCCAATTCAGGGGTGTACACACATCTGCTCCACTGGGCACTGGAAACCCCAGGGGGCGCCGTGCACGTTGGCTTCAGTAGATGGGCAACCCCTGGAGCTGGCAGGGGAGCACCCTGCAGGTGGGTTTAGACAGGGAGATCATGAAAGACGCTTCAATGAAAAATGCATGACTCCTGAGGACAATGACACAGTTACAAATCAGTGAAGCAAAGTAGTGCAGTACTAATGAGCATGAAACCTAGTGCCTGACTCATGCATTCAGATCCTGAATTATTTATCTGTGTGACGCTTTGGGAAAGTTACTTAACTCTTCCAGGCCTCAGTCTTGTCATCTGTAAATAAGGTTAATAGCAGTATCTACTATATAGGGTTATTATGAGGATTAGGTAAGCTAATATTTGTAAAGCATGTAGACATTGCCCAATATATAGTATCATATCTGTTACAAAAATTCAAAAATAAATTATGTTGACCATTCTTGATGCTTAGTAAAATTAGATATGAATCCATGAGCAAGAGTGTCAATAATTGCACATTCTGTTCTCAATTATTGAAGTAGTTGTTGTGCTGGAAGACTGTTACTTCAAATTAGAAAATTTTTAATTTTAATTATGTTTTATACATTTGTGATTACTTGCATACTCCATAGTCCTTTCAAAAGAGAATGAAAAAATAAAACTCTATATCAGTTATAGAGATACACATGCACAAAGATGATCTTTGCTGCACTGTTCCTAACAGAGAAAAGTTGGTAAGGACTTACGTGCTTACCAGTGGGAGACTGGGTAAATTGTGAGACATATTCATAAAACATGAAAATATATATCGCTTAAAATAAATGACTTAACTCTACATGAAACAATAGGGATACACTTCTAAAGCAATGTTAAGCATAAAGAACCCCAGAAGAATAACATGTACAGTATGTACAATAAACTTTCATTTAAAGTTTTTAAAAATGCCAAAGAAAGCTAAATACTATTTTGGATATAATACACATGTAGAAATGTGTAACAAAAACATAAACATGGCCCTGGCCCGGTGGCTTAGTTGGTTGCAGAGTCCTCCTGTACAGTCATGAGTTCAACTCCTGGGCAGGACATATACCCAGGTTGCAGTTTCAATCCCTGGTCGGGGCGTATATGGGAGGCAGCGGATCAATGTTTCTCTCTCATATCAATCTCTCTCTCTCCCCCACCCCATCCTCTCTCTCTAAAATCAATGAAAACAAAAAACATACCCTCTGGTGAGGGTTTAAAAAAACTCATAAACATGGAAGATACACAATATCAAAATGGTATTTGAGGAGGAAAGGAAGGAATTTGAATCTGGCAGGAGCAGAATGGGGGAGGGGGGCTTTAATTTCATCTGCAGCATTTTCTGTCTCAGATATATATCTATCCATATATAGATAGATATAGATAGATAGATAGATAGATAGATAGATAGATAGATAGATAGATGATAGATAGATAGGTAGATATGAAGCAAACATGGCAAAATGTTAATGTGTATTAAATCAGGTTGGAGGTTACTTTATTACATCATTATTTTTTTAAATTATTTATATTTGAGCATATTGATAATAAAAATAGTAACGGAATCCACTTTAATGCCAAACCATAATTATAAAGTTTCCATCATGGATTTTATTACTCCTTCTAGTTAATTTTTTAAAAAGAATTTTAAAATATTAACATACCACCAATTGTGCTATTTCTTATGGCTGGCCTTTTTTCATGAGGTTTGGGGAGTGCTTTCACACAAGGGCTCTAAAGAATGCATTTTCATTATTCTAGAAAGAATTTTAATGGCCTGTTGTACATCAATGTTAATGAGAGTCATGTAGATAAATCCCTAAGCAGTCCTTTTAAAGGTTGCATTTTTTGCTCAACCAAAAATAAAAAGCTCTCTCTCACCATCCTGGATAAATCTGCTAAGCAAGCGTGTTATATGTTTTTAGGTGCTTCAAATTAAATAATATGGAAACATTTATTTAGGGTGTTTTGCTTTGAAAACTTCCTCAGCAAAACAGCAAGGCAACTAATCATTCCTGTGATAATGAATTATGCTTTGAATATGTTATTGATTGCTGGAACAAACAGACCATGACCCAGATTTTCGGTGTTGCATATTGAGATGTGGCTGGTGTGCTCCGAGTTTGACAATTCTCTGTTGATTGTGTAAATTAACTGGGACAGTGACCTGTGACTGTAGCATTGCAGCTTTGCGGTTAAATATGTCATCGACCTTTTTATGCCCTATGTATAGTGTGAAATGGTCACCAAATTAATTTTGTCAGATGTCTGCATTCTAACTAGAAAACAATTTTCATTGCCTGTAACATGAATGTTTATGGTAGATATATTTTAAATACCTTGATTTCAATGCTATTTAACATTGGTAAGATTATTAAACGTGAAATTTATTCATATATTCTGTATTATTTATTGGCTGCTCACTATGTACTGTTGGGTCCTAGAAATAAAGTGATGACCAAGACAATGACACTCTCTTTAAATTGTTAATAATCTAATGAGTATGAGAGTCAAGAAAATAGGCAGTTATAATACAGTGAGATAAGTACTATTTGTGGGATTTGCAAAGGGTATTAGAGGAGCACATTACAGGGAAACCCAAACCAGTCTAGGACAATCAAGGTGAGAGATCAAGGAAGGCTTTCTGGTGGTAGTGTCTATGTTGATTCTTCATTTGGAGACTGGAGGGAGAATAGTGTAAGCAGGGGAATCAGCACATGGAAAAGCCCAGAGACAAGATAAGAGAAAGCGCACTTTGGGCCAAATGTTTGGATTGTTACTTTGGCATGAAGAGCCTTTACTACCCTGGGATTGTCTTACTTTGGAATTCCTAGCTCAGGTCATCCTGAGGATGGCCATGGAATGTCAACCATCAGAAAATCTTAGATTTAACCCTCAGCTCAATGCCCAGGCCCCACCCAAAACTAATTAAGTCAGAACTTCTGGGGGCTGGTCCCAGGTATTGGGATTTTTAAAAATCTCTCAAGATGTGAATAATTAGTCAGGTTGAAGATCACTAATTTGCAAGATAAACCCTGGGAGGTATGTTGATTTATCAAATATGTAGTCAAGTGAAAAAGGCAGAAGTGCTGTGCAAGGGCATTGCCAAAATGAGCTGGCTGTAAAGAAATGAGCTTGAGGATCATATCCTCCCTATGCATCTAAGTGCAAAACAATAGTAAGTGTGACTCATCTTCTAGAACTGGCTTTTGGCATTATTCAGATAGACAATAGTTCACACTTTTTTCAAGTCAATTATTCATTTATTCCAAAACACTTAGCTAACCCTTTCTATATGTCAGTATGCTAGGTGTGTATATGACATTTGATATCTTGCCATTCAAAAACTCCCAGTTCAGTAAAGAGATAATTTTTAAAATAGTCACTATCATGTGAATCATGTGACAGGACTATACATAGCTTGGGTACAAGCTGCCTAGCTGGGGAGTAGTATCAGGCAAAAAATCAGAGAATAGCTAAATTTTTAAGAATGGAGTTAGAAATTCACTGAGACAGAAAGATCTTTAGTGTGTTTGAAACAAAAGATATGAGCAGTGTTGCATCCAAAATGAGCCTAGAAAACTGGGTTAGCTGCTGCAGGTCAAGAGACCCCTCTCTCTTCGTTGCCAACTAGTGTCAACCCACTCTGACTTTCTCTATGTAGCTGGAAAGCTTCATTTTCACACGTCTCCTTATGATTGAAAAGACCACCTATGTGATGGTCACTAGAATAAGACAAAAGGTGGAAATCAGGAGTTTAAAGTTCTGAGAGTGGCCAAGAGACAGGTAGGGGCATAGAGTCTGTTGAGGTTCTTGAGGACCAAGTAAAGCACAGCTATAGTACTGGAGGCATGTGGCACCAGACAACCAGCTTGCAAGATGGCCTCTAATGATCCCTGCCTCCGCTGGGCTGCCCTCTTTTCATTTCTCTCTATTTTACCACAGTCCTGAAGTTTCAGGTGATTTGGACTTTGTGTGTTTAAGCAGCCTTTCTGTCCCACCTTTCCTTTTATTTTAATATGATGTAATTTTTTTCTTCAAATGTTCCTGAGAAAATGTTTTGCATGGTGAACTAAAAACCTGCCCAGTCTTATTCTCACATGGAAAGTAATTTGAAGGGCCAACTCTACAGTGAAGACTATTAGCTAAGTAAAAACATGTCAGCCTTTGATACGTTGATTTATTCGTTTAATTAAACATTCGAGAAGGCATGGTTAAACTACAATACGACAATATTTTAGAGTGCTTCTAAATATACAGTTTATTATGTGTTTAGAACCTAACCCATTTCTTCTCAACTTTGTAACACAGGAGAAGAAAACCTCCTGGCAATTTTACGACGACGATGGTGGAAGTACATGATCCTGGGGCTCATAGACCTGGAGGCGAACTACCTGGTGGTGAAGGCCTACCAGTACACGACGCTGACCAGCATCCAGGTACCGACGGCTCTTCTTTCGTTTGCGGCCCTCCCCATTCCCAGGTGGCATCTGCTTTCAGTTTAGTCACTTAGGAATCTGAATACTACTCTGTAAGTTTTGCAATAGGGTAGAAATTGGTTGTATAAAAGTCAACTTGAACTTGATTTCTATGTCATATTAAATTTTCCTAATTCAAGTGTAATTGGACATCTTTTTCCTCTTCATTCTTAATACACCGTGTTAACCATTGACAATGCGGGAAGATAATTTGTAGCTATGACTACTGCCCACAAATTTTATGTCAGTAGGAGAAGTATTCATAAGCATAAAAGTAAGTATTTTAATCAGAATTTACAACGTTTCAGAATATGTTCATGAACTCTGATTAAGTAATCAAAATGCTTAATAATCTTTTCTTTTAGCTTTCTTTAATGTGAAGCTTTTGCAACCTGAAAGGACAGAATTTTTCCTAAAGGGACAAGATTTAAATTCCTAAAATGTGTTATGCATGAAGTTAGCCACCGTGTCCTCCTTCCTCTCTATCTTTTACACACATATGTACACACACACACAAATTCACATACACAATTATAGGTTTAACGTAGGTTTTCACAATTTTCACCAAACACCACCTCTATTCCTCATTACATCATAAATGATAAACTTTATTATTTTTGTCTCACCTTTATTTGTCTTTTAATGGCAATATTATGAATTTATACTCATTGCAAAGTGATGGAACAAAACATTGCTCACATACTAGAGTTTACTTAGACTTGATACCTCAACAGCATTTCTGCCATCCTAATAATTTGCTTAGAAACAATAATAACAAAAATAGAGAAACAAACAAGCAAACAAAGCACCTGAGTAAATTTAGATTATATAGACTGAATGAAGCTATCTAAGCGAGAGTTAGATGGGGCCACACGCTCTCCTTGTGTGCCCGATGAGAGACAGGAAGAACCCTTCCTCACAACCAGTGAAGAAAAGCCTGTTCTGACGACCACACAGGGGACAGGATTGCTGCCATGAGCTAACTGGCTTAAACCTGGACTCCCTGAACTAATACAGCATGAGATTTCTCCGATCGATTCTGACAAATACTTCTCCATAGGGGCACTGCTGGCATTCTGGATGAGGTACATTTTTATGATGTGGGTCCCTTTTCTACTTTAATGATCACTTAACATTCCTAGCCCCTGCCCACTAAGTGTCAGTAGCATCTTTTTTAGCCTTTTTAACAACCAAAAGTGTTCCTTGGATTTCCAAACGCCCGCTAGCGGAGAGGTACCATCTCTGGTTGGGCGTCCCAAGCTCACCAATCAGCACTCACTCCTAAGTCAGGGCGGGATCAATGATACCCAGTCACACCTCTGTCACCCACTGAGGGACAGGGCATGTGGTGGAGGCTGGGAGAACAACCGCAATGCTGCCACGGCCAGCTTAGCACCCACCTCACTTTGATAAGCTCCAATATGGCAAAACTCTCTCCTGTGCTTCCGTGGCACCTAGTTCTTCAGCTCTTTCACCACAGCCTGCCTTACCTAAGAATGATGTTTGCTCCCATCTACTCCACCACACCCTGAGCTCTTTCACAGCAAGGGTGGCTTCTCCTTCACCTTGGAATCTGCTGGTAGAAAAACCAGCACATACTAGGTATCTGATACCTAGTTTAAAGAAGTTAATTAAATTGCATTGATTTCCAGTATTTTGAGGCACAGAAATTCCCAGCAGTTCTTTACCCAAACATAGAGGCTTCCAGAATGTCTATACAGATGTGGTGGGGAAAGAAAGTGAGGAATTTTGACTTCACGCCAGAACTGGAACCATTAATCCAAAATCAAAAATTATAAATGGGCCTATGGGCAGTGAGGAGGACCTTTCCCCTTTTGAAATTACAGTTGACTTTTGTTTTTACTGTTAAGTATTGAGAAGTGAGGACCAATTATTGGTTTTTAAGTTCTATTGTGGGGTTGTGAGTATGTGTGTGTGTGTGTGTTTTCAGAAAAAAAATTTTTTGTACATGTGTGTGAACAGTGACAATTTATTCTTAGCAATTGGTTCCCTGGTCCTCATGTGTTTAACTCATCCCATTTTATATGACACCACTAATATAGCCAATCACCTCTCTCAAAGTAACTCTTCGATACCCTATTAATGCTGCATTCTATGAAAAGTTTAATTCTGTAGAAGAACAAAAAATTGTAATTCCACTGAAATATCAGTTGTTTTTCATTGTAAGTTACTGAGCAAGGGATGGGGGAAGAGATAAAGCAAGTTGAATAAAAAGGCCCTAGAACCATTTTCCCACCTACAGTAAATTAACCTATTGAAAAATAATAATGGTCAGAACAGAAGACGTTTGCTCTGAGAGCCACATCTATAGTGCTGTTTAGTAATTTAATTCTGTTTACTCGTTGCAAATGGTTAGAACTAACAAGGACCTACAACTCCTTGTTTCTATAAATATTGAGTGCATAATATGTGCTGTGCCTTCAGTTTTTATCATATTAATCAATGAGGAAAATATATTAATTAAACATCTGAAAAATGTGCTAGTTATTGCAGATGATGTAAAGAGAAATGAATAACCTTGCCCTCCAGGAGTTTCTGAACTTGTGAAGGGGATAAGACACACAGTCCATTAATAGTAACACCAGGGATTATAAGAAAACAGACACCTAAGAGCTACAGTTTTCAACAGAGGCAGAGTTGATGTTTATTTGCCAAGGCAAGAAAGTGCTTATTCAGATGAGTCCATAAGATTAGATAAAATATGAGTACAGCTTCGTACTTGGAATGAAGAGCATGCCGGTAGCCTGGGAACAGGAAACCTGAGGAATTTGTTTGGAGAACAGTTTTTCCAGTTTGATTCATCAGTCACTTAAAAAATAATTACTGAATATTTCTATGTTTAATACAGTGTCTTAGGTGGTAAACACACTTGTGAGCCAAAATACTCTCTGTATTCTTATGGAGTTTCTAGTCAAATGGGGAAAAGAGCCTATGGTCAAATAACTAATGAATGGATGTGTCATTATAATTGGGGATAAGTGTTCTAAAGGAAAGCAACAGAGTCTTTGAGAATAACTGTCAGAACCACCTGACCTAAATTGAGAGGTTGGGGAAGATTTCCCGAAAGAACTGACTGCCAATAGAGCTGAGATCTAAAAGAGGAGTGGAAGGTTCACTGGGGGAGGGAGGCCAGGCGAAGAAGGGAGCATGCTCAAGGCTCTGGGGAGGAGGGCCGCGGCAAGCACGAGGCTGTGGACAGGGTCCTGTGGCTGGCCACAGAGTGAAGAGTGGTGCGAGATGGCCGGAGAAGGGGACAGAGGCCAGGCCCCGCGAGTCTTGACAGCCAGGTCAGGGGTTTGGTCTTTAGGCCAGGTGCCGTGGAAAGCCAGATTTGAGTTTTCCCCGCCACTCAGGCTGTGGTGTGGAGAACAGATCGAAGCAATGGGTGCCCATAAAGGGACAGGGGAAGGCAGAGCTGAAAAGTTACGTTGGGGCCATATTGCAGGAGGCCTTCAATGCCGGGACAAAGAGTGTGACTTAATTTTGTAGGTAAAATAGAGCCTTGAAGGTTTCTGAGGAAAGAGGTGATAGGATGTGACCCAACAGCCCTCTTTCAAAGCACTTGTGTTTTAACAAGACGGCCTTCGTTAGCAGCTGGCAGAGCCCCAAGCGCTTCTGTGTCGCTTCTCTGAGTGACAGAGGTCGGGGGCAAGCAGACTTGGCGAGGCCCTCCTGCCCCGTCCTCCTGCCTGGCCAGCGCATTCACCACGCTTACGATCGAGTGTCACAAACAATTGATACATGAAGGTTGAAAGGAAAAATATATCCTGAAATGATTATAGACTAAGGAAATTGCAAAAATATAGAGAGTTCTCGGAACTGTTCACACAGCTTTCCCCAGTGTGACATTTTTATGACTTTGGTATAATGTCAAAACCAGGATATTGACATTGGTACAATACTGTTAACCAGACTACAAAGCTTATTCAGTTTCGCCCTTTCTCCCTTCACTCCAGTGTGTGTGTGTGTGTGTGTGTGTGTAGTTCTATGCCATTTGATCCTGTGTAATGCGCTTCACAAATATCATGTTTTTTACAAATTGAAGGTTTACGGTAACCTTGCATTGAGCAAGTCTATCGGCACCATTTTACCAAGAGGTTCAGATGACGGTTAGCATTTTTAGCAATAAATTATTTTTAATTAAGATATGTGCATTGCTTCTTTAGACATAAAGCTATTTCACATTTAATATACCACAGTATAGTGTAAACATAACTTTTACACACATGGAGAAACCAAAAAATCCATGTGACTTGTTCTATTGTGATATTGGCTTTACCACAGTTGTCTGGAACCAAAGCCTCAGCGTCTCCGAGGAGTGTCTGTGTGGGCTTGTGTAACAACTGCCACGGTCAGGTACAGCACTGTCCCATCGCCACAAAGGAGCTCCCTATGGAGTCACACCAATTTCATCACCCTCACCCCAGTCACCTAGCAACCTCTAATCCATTCTCCATCTATATAATTTTGTCAGCTGTAGAATACTAGAGAAAATAGAATCATACAATAACCTTTTGAGATTGGCTTTTTCACTAAGCATAATGCCCTAAAGTCCATACAAATTGCTGCATGTATCCACAGTTTGTTCCTCTTTGTTGCTGAGTAGTATTTCAAGGTATACCAAGTTTGTTTAACTATCACCTGTTTAAACATCTGGGTTGTTTCCAGCTTGGGGCTTTTACAAACAAAGCTGCTATGAACATTATGTGCAGGTTTTTGTGTTAACATAAGATTTCATTTCCCTGGCATAAATGTTCAAAAGTGCAATTGCTGGATCATATAGGAAGTGGCTATTTGGTTTTAGACACTGTCAGACAACTTACTAGAGTTGCTGTGTCATTTTACACTCTCCCCAGCGATGTATGAGAGAGACGTCGCTCCTCATTCTCATCAGCATTTGGTGGTGTTATTTTTTGCTTAGCCATCCTAAAAGGTGTGTA